CCTTAATGTGAAGTCTATGAAGTTTTACACATATGTAATACTCACCACGGTTGAACGACGATTCTTCCACTCTTTAATTACTTGCACCACAACAAACGTTTTCAGTACTGTCAATCTGAATTGCTGGAAGAGGTAACACTTGAAGAGTGAGAAATGCCTGAGCTTAGACATTCACCTGGATTAGACGATTGTATGGATACTCACTTATTCCTGAAATCAATGAAGTAAGTTATTGTTGGTCAGTAAACCTACGAACATAAGAATTGCTGTTAAAATAGACATTTATTTGACAAAACACTTGGTCTTGTAGATGGGTCAATCATGTCGACTACTCACAACGCAAACACCAAATATTGCGCCGTTTGATGTGAAGAGAGAATTGTGAGCAGAAATGACCTAAACTCAGAACGATGTGTATGTACTGTAAAGTGATATTTTCCTGCTATTTTCATGACATTTAGGCCCTCGGTATCATGATAGAGTTTAATGTCGTCCCTCTATGTTTTTCAATACTGCTAAAACCTTTTATGTTTCCCCGCAATTACCAATTTGATGAGGCCTGTAAACTGGCTTCTCACGTATTAACTTTATAGCTTGAGAATAAAGATATTCATTTATTTATTTATTCAACTGAAGCGTTGAAGCAACCTCCAAGTCATTTCCTGGTCGACGCTGTCAAAGGCCTTTTCAAAGTCGATGAAGTTGAGGCAAAGATCCAGTTGGTTGCCATTCTATGCTCTGTTCTGTGATGGTGCGTAGCGTAGCGTTGTGACTGACTTGTTCTTCCCGTTTCCGGCCAGCCTGTTCCGGTCGTAGTTTTGAATGCAAAGGATTTTTTAGTCACTCTCTCAAAGATGGTGTGGCCTAATATTTCGATTGGGGTGGACAGGAGCGTGATTCTGCGCCAGATTTTGCAAAGGCTTAGGTCGCCCTTCTTTGGGAGTTTGACAAGGTAGCCCTTCTTCTAATCTGCAGGCACCTTTCCCTCCCTCCAAAACCTTCAGCAGTAGTTGTGCGAGCATGTCCGCTGATGTCTATTAGTCTGCTCTCAGTGCCTCTGGAGGAATTCCATTTCGTCCTGCTGCTTTCCCGGAGTCCAGTAACTTTATGGCCTTGAGGAGTTTAACGCTGCCCTTGTTGCAAGGTTTATTTTCACTGGTAGTTCTGTGGTTGCAGGCGGTGGTGGCGGTCGATTCAAGAGTTTCTTGAAGTGGTCAACCCATCGATTTCTCTTTTTCTCTTCTTTGGTGACTAGATTTCTTTCATCATCTTTTATCGGTTTCGTCTGCGTTGATCTCTTCCTCTTCCAGATAGACAGTAACCTGATTATTTGATACAATGTTGTCAGGTCTCCGTCTCTCCTACCAGCCTCTTCTGCCCCACTCGCCAATGTGTCGTAGAAGTGTCTTTTGTCTTTGCGTGGGCCCTCCTTCACTTCTTTGTGCAGTGTTTTATACGTTGCACTCAGCTCTTCTTTTCGTTGTGCTGCACTGGTTTGTCTTCTGCTTCACCATACTCCTCTCCCTGCTCTATCTGCTTCCATGTGTCCGTCAACATCCATTCCTCATCTTCTTTCTTCTTCCTTCCCAATGCGGTTATGCAGGTTTCCTTCCACATAGCTTTCAAAGAGTTCCGGCGGCCATCCACGCAGGTTTCTTCGGGGATGCTGCTTGATATCTCCCATTTTGTCTTGATGGCTGCAGTGAAGATTTCCTTTGTAGTTTCATCCTTCACTTTCTGTTCTGGGTGTTGAGCTTGAACTGCGGCCTATCGCCAACTCCCTTAGAAGCCTTCAGCTTGACGTTGAAGGTTCCTTTCACTAGATAGTAGTGTGAACTTACATCTGCTTCCCTTCTTGACCTAGTGTCAAGTAGGCTGCATCTCCACTTTCTTGAGATTGAGACCAAGTCGATCTGATTTTTAGTGTGTCCACCTGGTGAAATCAAATCCATGCTGCTTTGTGGATATCCTTGTGCTTGAACACAGTGCCTCAAATCACCAAATCGTTGAATGCACATAATTCTGTAAACAATTCTTCATTCTCGTTCATTTCACAGAGCGCTTCACGACCCATGGTTAGTTCTCTTTCATGTTTGTCCGCTCCGAATCTGGGATTCATGTCGCCCATTAGAATTTAGATGTCGCCAACTGAGGTCTTGTCCAGTGTTGATTGCAGTTGTCTGTAGAGCTCCTCCTTCTGCGTTATTTGTAGGTGCGTAGCGAAGCATTTTATGATTGTGACTTTGCTTCCCTTTGAGTTGAACCTTGCTGTCATGATCCCGGAGGAGGCTGGCCTTCGATGCCCTTGGGAGAGGAACATCATGATAGCCACTCGAAAACTCAGTGTGCTCGTGGTTGTCATCTGGGTGACAGCATCGGAGCAGGTCATTTACTCCCCGGTTGACCGTTTGGAGAGTCCACCTCCATTGCACCCGCTTTCACAGGTTCCTAGCACTTCTATGTGAAACCCTCCCATCTGTTTTGCGATCTGAGCAGCCTTTGTAGGTTCATACGTGGTGTGGACATTCCGCGTCCACGTGTTTACTTTTGCTTTCATTGAGAGAGAGAAGACACATCGGCTGGTTTGCCTCCCGAAGGCTTCCACCAACCGGCGTCATTTCGTCTCTCCCATTCCGGCAAGGAATAAGTTTATTTTTATTTTTAATACTTTCTTTGTGCTTTGGGGTTTCTGTGGCGGTTGGATTGGCTTTACGGGGTAGGGTTGCTAGCCGTGTGTCCACCTTTCTCTGTTCATCCGAGCTCAGGACCGGCTAGTAACTAGTGAACCAGTTAACTAGGCGAGGTCTGCGGTAACCTTTGAGACCCTTGAGTGCAACTGAAATGAAAGTTGTTCTTTGTAATCGGGAAACTTACGGTGCTCATCGTACCAGCCTGTGTTTGCATTCCGTTAGTTTTCTGAGAATTAGCAAATTTATTGTTAAACTGCGAAGCCATTAACGCATTGTTGGAATGTTTATTGGTAATTGATTCCTGCCTGAAGCCGAGGTCATGGAAGTAGTCTTTCCTCACGTCATCTGTTTCCTTCAGCATTTTATTCTCTCTTATGCCCTGGCGGGGTAAGTCCGCGAGTAGTATGGCTGAAACAGAAACAATTTGTTACCAGATGAATTATTCACATCGAGTAACCTTATAGAAAGGGCATTCACCAGTACCAGCTTGGTAGATGCTCCCGTGAGTGTGTAACGACTTGCTGATACCGGCAGCAGCGAGTCAGTTAGAATATACCTTATGGATCCTTTGATGTCTGAGGTTACCTGCCTCAATAGTCTGACAGTCTAAAACACATTATATCAGGCGTATTCGTCCTCATAAAGACATCCCAGAAACCTTTATCTTTCAATGACACCTCTAACATATCAAGTCGTTACTGCTTCCAGTGGATAAGGCATAAATAAGGCGGTCTTCAATCAACGTATAACTCGTGTCCGACTCACCAGAAATGGTTCTATAAAATCATTTGCATCGCCTATAAAACGTAGACCGTTGACAATGCACAAGCTTCTGTAACATTACAGATCATAATCTACCAATAAAGGATGCGTCTTCAAAATCCTGACGTCGATGAATCAGAAAAACAAAACACTGATCTGTTCAACAAATACTCGCTACTCACCTCCATGGTAGATGTCGAAATGACGGATAGCGCGGAATGCACCGACAGAAGTATTTCGCATGTACTTAAACAAGGACATAACTGCTGATTTTTTTACACAAATGAGTGAGGGATACATGTGAAAATGAGGAAAACGTAACTTATTCGGCGCAGTTAAATAGTTCCCCCGGTGTTTGTTATCTCTACATTACGGCTTCCTCATTTCGCCAGTCACTGTCCACTGGAAACCTGTTTCCACCACCTTCTCCCCTCTTTTTACACCTTTCATAAACAGCGTTCCCGTCAGTGCCTACCTCCTCACTTAAATTCATCTTTATTTTCCGTTTCCCTCCTTTTTATCAGACTGAGATTTAGTGAAAAGCACAAGAACCCAGGCAAGCGATATTACCGAAATACCACGGACGAATGCGTAAATAACGTGGTAAATGTTTTAGTATTCGTCCTGGTGCGAACTTGACAGACGCGAAGACCAGTCACTAGTTATTCGAAATTTTTATATACCCACGAGTACGAGACCAAGGAAGAAGACGATAGCCTAGTCGGATGGAATAGTACATTTGGATGGTTGTGCCAAAATACCGATGCGTTCCAACCAACTGGCTAGAGAGTCGAATACGAGCAGTGCAACGTAACACGATAGCGTGCCAAATGGCGAGGATGCCTGACCGGGTGCCTTCAGCTTAGTGAGTCCAGTTAAACTATCAAGGTCAGCATCAATGTCGAGTCGTCAAACCCTAGGCTATTGATTTTGGGGAAGTGTGTGACGCTACAATGGCATTAATATTGCTACTGAGGCGTAGGTAATAGGACCTGTGACCGAAAATGTCCCTTAACCACTGAAATAATGTGGATAGTGCTGAAATAAAGCGGATGGCGCTGAAATAAGGCGAGAATTGTGCGTAAATGAAGTTGCGATTACACATGCACGCTTAAGTTATTCCACTAGTGCGTAAATTGTGCTGGTAGTCTGTAAAACTCCGCGTAAGTGTGGCATTTCAGCATTCCTAGTCAAGGGATTGACCTACATTATTTCCTCATTCGCATGCATTATTTCAGCATTCTTTTTTGACAGGGAGAAATACTTTCAAAAAGTGAAATATGAATGTGACACTAGCGTCAATAAATTATATCAAAATTAGCACCAGAATTGATCGAAGACCTGGAAATGTTCCGTAAGGCCTAGATGCCAGCGCGAAGAAATCAGTTTGCTTACAGTAGCTCGTAAAAACACTGAATATTAGAGGTAAGGCTTCAGTACCCCGTTAAATATAAGGATAAACTCACAAACCTACCGAACTCGAATTTCGAAAAGAATACTATTTTTGAAAGTCGGATCTTTCTTTGTTTAACTGCACAGCTAAATCTTAATTGACTGGTTGTAACTTATTTGAACCCCTGCTTATCGTTTAGACGGTGTTTAGGTTGGTTTCTAAGATGTAAGGCATGTGTTGAACTGAACCTGTTGGACGACTGTAGTGTCACTTCCAGATTTCTGTTAAAGCACGTTCGTGGGCATCTTAACTGGTCTGTTTCTTGTATCGGTGTACCAACTAGCCAGGTGGCTTTCACATTGTTGGTAATGGAATAGCTTTCGCCTTACTGGCTTTTGTGGCTAGAGGCAGTCGGACACCAGTTAACCTCACCCGGTTTTCATCCTATGTACAAATGGAGTGAATATATGATGGTGTTCTGGTATTCCCTGAACCTTGATATATTTTCCTCAAGGCTCAGAGAACATTATCCTCATCCTTAACTGTATATCATTCCGAGGTTAATGTATTCACAAATATGCTTCATATCAGTTGAAAGTGTTATCTAGTCATACCTCTTTAGTTTCTGTCTCTTTGTCCTACTGTTGTCGATGTAGTCACCACAGGCAAACCAGTGTTCTTATCACACTAGGGTTCAGCCTAAACTTAAACCTAGCAGAGGTAGTACATTATACGATGTGATGTTATGGGCGCAGCTTACTGCTCATGGTCGTATGAGAAGCCTTAATCGGATTATGAGCAATGAATTTTTCTCGAAACATTCACTACACATACTGTCCAACTACTGTACCGTATAAGGGACGTAACATTAGGTTATATCCTACTACCGAGTCTTAGTTCTATACCAATATATTACTGTTTACTTGTCTTATTTATTGATTCGTTACTATCTGTTCTGGTAAGGAAAAATATTACTGTTTCATCTTTCCTACCTCGGTCGTTTGCAATTTTCCCAATTGAGGTGTGCATCAAAGATAGGTTGAGACTAAATTTGAGTTTGTTGGAAATTTATCTTTTTTTGCTAGTTCCTTTCTATCTATTTCTTTATTACTTGAGCTCTTGAGTTGTTTATCTACTCTCTATCATGAATGCTCCCAGTTACGTAACTTTTGTTCCATTTACTCTTTTAGCTTGTGAAAGTTGATATCCTAACCACAATCCAAAGTTAACATTCTTCCAACCTTTCTTGTCCTTACCCAATCGATGAGAGGCAAAGCTCGTTCAAAGAGACGTGCTTCTACTGAGTGTCCTGACTTAGTACCAGAAGAAAGGTATGAACTTACAATATAATTATTGGTTGTAGGATTTTTGCTAACCCATCGGCTTTGAGTCCCCATCTACTCTGTCCAATATGTCAAGAGGTATTCACTCATCCTCAACGTGCTCCTTGTGGTCATAGTTTCTGCAAAAGAGTAAGTCTGATAAGTTTAAATACCGCCTTCTATGCATTCGCGAGATAATTTCAATATATTCTGCAGTGTTTTACTCAAAGCTGGATCTCATTCTGTACCATGTTTGCTGTTTTTCAACAAGGGTCCCATGCAGAAAACGTAGTGTGTTTTGTAAAGTTTGTTACATTTGTTTAAGCCACACTTATATCGTTGATCTTTTGAAACAAGGAAAACAACAGTGATGTCTCTATAACTCCGTTGAGTGTGGCGGAATAACTTTGCACGCTAGTTCCACTGACTGATAATGTTACTTGAATTACTCGAGTGCGAGAATTAAAAAATGTTTATTTCGAAGTGCATATAACACTTAATTTGGAACCCAAAATGTTTGTTTCTTGCACCGTCAAGACACTATCAATCTTAGGTTTGTTGTAAACGATAGATTTAAATATCCTCTTGATATGCGTAATTAATTGAGCCACATATTTGGTTACCTCCTTAGTGACAGACAGGCAAGATAGGGTTTCGTGCAGTGAAACATCTAACTACAACATTTTACAATAGCACAAAAAATCAGTAGATGTAGAAAGGTATCAAAGCTAATAAAGGAAGTAAGAGGAGAGAAGTGAGACAAGTGAGTTGAAGATGATCATATGTTCAAACTCTAACCGATGGTGAAGTGATTTATAGAGTACTAGTCCGAACTTTACCACCGATAGTATTCAAATACTAATTGCTCCCGACCGATAACTGCTACCTTAAGGTGATAATCAGACTTCTACATTAAAATGACCTGGCGAACTATGCAAGTGGAACGCTTCTTCCCTCAGGGTGCTACTATACCAGAAACGTCTGTTGGACAGTGGTAAGGCGAAAGCAGCTATAGTTGTAGTTTAAATTACTGCACTGTTATGTGTGTATTAAGGGGAAGTAGTACTGCTGCTAGCTGGATCGCGTGTGACAGCAGCGAAGTGTTTCCCTTGAATGACCCGTAGTGCCACACTGATGCTGCCTTCTCTTTGAGAAGAGGGGGCTAGAAAAGGTCAGTCCCCGAAATAGCACATTTCTCCCTGGCCTATAGTCTACCGGTGCCGGTGGTATCGGTTTTCTCCATCCAGCACTAGAACAATCAAGCCTCAAAACAACATACCGCAAAAGGCTTCGTGTGTGATAGGCTTCAAGCATATGTCCAGTGGGCTCTACGGTTACACAAATATTTTTCTTCTTCAGGTACCTTACGAAGAAATAGCGTTTTACGATGTGGGGGAGCTGGGAAGTGTCAACCACCCGCACACCTCAGTGCTCAAGTTCCCCCAGACCATTATCCCTCTCCTTCATCCCTACTTACTAATCTTCCTTCACGTCTCTTGGCTAACAATCATACATCATCTTAAACTTCTACCTCCGCAGTTCTCGACAACAATCTGAGTCCACAGAACAGCATCCTTGGTCTGCGTAAACCACACTCCAAGTTACACATTGGAGCCTTCAATGTCCGCATCGTCCACTAAATTGGCCAACAAGCTTCATTGGCGAGAACTATAACAACTCGGGCAATGAATGTGTCCTGTGTTTGTGAGATACGTGTGCAGGACCCAAGTGTGGTTATTCGCTTGACCTCTCCCGGCCAATATGGTGAATCCACAAAATTCACCCTTCGAGTTTCCGGAGATTCGATGGCTAGCTCCGGTGGTCTTTCAGGTGTAGGCATAGCATTAAGGACTAGTGCAGAAAACTCACTACTAGACTGGATACCAGTTGATGGTCGCCTCCACGCTATCCAAATGAACAGCACAGTGAGTGCTAAAAGGAATCGTGAAACTCGTCGTTGTCACTTTGTAATCCCTGTTTACGCACCCACTGACTGCAATTCGGATGAAGTGAAGGACGAGTTCTACTGTAAACTGTATATTCTTTTCGAAAGCCAAACGCTCAGATGTGGTGGTTGTTGCAGATGATTTCAATGCACATATGGGTGGGCTCAGAAAGGCACCTGGGTGACGCTTTTGGAATCCCGGGTGGACGTACAGATAACGGTGATCGCCTACTACAACTGTTCTGAGATAACCGTTTACTTCTAGCTAGCACAAACTTCAGACGTAAAGGAAGACTTTGTCTGACATGATGTCGGCTGGGCTTAACTCGGCGATGGACGCAAATAAACCATATTGCTGTTAGTCATCTCTGGAGAGGGCCGGTGGAAGACTGTTGCTCTTTCTGAAGCACGTGTCTGGATAGCGACAACGCGTTGGTTCGAGTGCGTGCGCTTCTGCTTCTCATTTGACGTAGAAAAACTTAGGCAACAATGACCAGTACGAATGCAGCTGGACAATAAGAACACTAAGGCCGCTTTCAGTGAAAAACTGGCCAGGCAGTTATCGAACAAAAAGGCTCAGTCATTCAGAAGGAGCGTGATGCATCTCCAGTCTGCTGAGAAAACAGTGTTAAAGACGATAGCTGACTCTAAAAGAGTGGTTAAAAAGAGTTAGGGGATTTTATTCATTTTTGAATTAATCAATGCCAGTGAACGCATATCTGCAGACTCTGAGAACAATGAGGAAAGAACGCAACTCATATGTAGACTGACAACGACCCCGAGCAGTGGTGGGCAGCAAAGGATAAAAAGATGGAAAAGGCAGCGATGATAGGTAATAGTAGGCAGTTATTTAGACTCATTAAGAAAACTGAGGCGAAAAGACCAACGGTTAGTGAGACTATAGCGAGAAGGATGGGTTTGTGATTCACTCACAGGGGAGACAACTAGAACGATAGACAGAACACTTAGAGGAACAAAACTAGTTTTCAGCCATTGTTGCGTTGACTGCTATCCAGTGGGATCCTGTATGGTACATTGATATAGGTCATTCTAACACCTGCAGAAGTCAGGAAAGCGGTAGGTAGCTTGAAACGAGGAGGGGCGGCGGGACCAGATGGACTAGTTTCTGAGGTGTATAAGGACAGTTACAGAGTTCTAAGTCAACTGAAGTGTTAACTAGTATATCGGAGTCGAATATGATCTCCTATGATTGGTCTCAATCACTGACTATCCTAGGCTTCAAGAAAGACGAGGAGCCCTCTTATGATAACAGAGGAATCAGCCTGACCAACATAGTGCCTAAGATTCTAAATTCTTTAATTATTAGACGCCTAAGTGGAGCTCGGAAACAGTAAGTCCGATAAAACCAGGCAGGCTTAAGACCTAGACGTCGGTGTATCGACCAAATGTTTACACTCCATCAGGTTCTCGAACACAGACATGCTTACCGAAGGCCAATACTAGGTGTGTTTCTCGACCTGAAGGCGACATTCGACTCCGTCGATTGAGAAGTCTTATGGCAATGTCTCACTGAAAAGGATGACGAGTAAGTCCATCGTGTTGAAGACTTTTTACTCGAACACCCGTGGGCATATCAGGGCCTATGGTGAGATGTCGGTGAGCTGTGTACACCGAGTGGTGTCCATCAAGGATGCCCATTCTCTTCATTCTTATTTAATTCCATTACAAACTTTCTTATAGAGGTCTCCTTCCCATCATCTGACCACACAGGGATTGACCTAACCACAAAAGACCTAGAATAAGCAGATAACATGATCCTGTTAAATAAAGATGCAGAGTCTTTTGGACAGTTTGAGTGGCGATTTGAGATTGTTTGGGATGCGTTTCTCGCCACCCAAATGCAAATTTTTGCTCAAGAATCGGTCTTCAATGGTACCCCGCATAACAATAGAGAATGAAGTGGTTGAATGCGTTGAACACTTCATTTACTTGGGAAGTCAGATCAGCCCTGGTGCATTGGTCATTAACCGACAAAATCTCTGCACGGTCAACCTTTGCCAACTTATGCCATCTGTAGTGCCACCGCAATATCCGCTTGTCTATTAAGGGTTGGGTTTACCGTGCTACAGTCCGCTCTGAACCACTGTATGGCTATGAAACGGCCACTAAAAGTAGATTTGAGAAGGGTTCAGGTGTTTGACCACCATTGCCTTCTTAGAATAGCCCGTGTTTCGTGATAGCACTTCGTGAGTAACGTAGGAGTCAGGCGTAAAGCTTCAGGGAGAAGAGGTAAGTCAGTTACTGCGGTTGTGAACCTGTATTAACTGAGATGACTGGGACATATGTTACTTATGCCTAACCGCCGTCTACTTCATCTCAAAATGTTGGCCGAAGTAGGTTCAGGCTGGAAAAAAGGCTCGGGGCGACGAGATTAAAACATGGCATAAATGCATGAATCCCTTGACTGTTCGTTTGAGTCTTGTAGGGCGATGCAGACTAGCCCGTTGGGATCCGTGAAAAAAGAAACAACAATGGTTAAAGACTATGTGAAATGTCTCAGAACCGATGTCAGTGGCGCAGATGTGTACATATATTATCTTCATCTTAACCGCTATACTTAACCTCGTCATTTTCTCATTCTCCCTTCCTCTCTTTTACTACTTTTTACTTTTTACCGATCTTTCTTTCCTTCTCCATCATCCATTTCATTGCCTTATTACTCGATGTGCTGGTCTGACGCATGGAAAGATGAGCCGTTACGCAGTAATGCGTGGTCCTTTGTTGATTTTGATGATGATGAACTACTGGTTCCTACTATCCTAAGACTGCCTACATGGGTCAAACTAACAGTTACTGAATTCATGGGATGTAGTGTTTTAAAAAACAATCACTTTATTCCAAACAACTTTGGTACAATTCGTTCTGGTCACCTAATTCTTCTCAACAATTCTACTCTAAGTAACAACACATTAGAGTAGCCCAAATTGGTCTTGCAAATAATCAAGCTCTATCAAATTAAGATCTCAAGTTTTCTATCATTAGCTTGTGAACATCCGACGATCTATTGCATAAAATATTCCGAATAAGTGGGGATAAGTTAACATAGTAAATGTTCACTGCTCCTCGTCTTCGCTATATGAACACGGAAAATTCTAATTTTTTTCTTATTTCGAATATTGAGTTTTCAATTGAATAAATATGACTTGGTGTGACTGGAACCACTGAACACAGTGATCAAGCGACTGTCTTTTTTTAAACAAAATTAACTACCCTTAGGCATTCAATTACACGTTCTCTGTATGTTATGCGACATTCAATTTTTAAACTGCATAGAAGACCGATGAATGAACAAATCAATATAGAATCTCGCAAAGAAGTGCATCCGTTCTGGTGTCAAAACTTCACTGCAGCAAGCAAAGAACAAGTAGATACGAAAAGACTAATATCAGTGATGGAAGGAAAAACTGTTTGAACATAAAGGTTGTTGAAAATACTGAACTTTAGAAGTCGGCTGTGCTCATGCTAAGGAAAGCTGGTGATATATATAGTAAATCTGCTGTAGAAACAGTTGGTTAGGAAACGTTAATTGGTTTCGCAACATCATGTGAACTGACTGATATGAGAACACTCATTCCATTCAATGATGAGCGAAAGTAGCTGCAACGTAAATGAACTTAGAGTTCAGAATCACTGCGAGAAGTGGGGGTGGTGAAAGCAAAGGGTATGGGGAAAGCATAAAGCAATATTCGGCAATTACTAAGGTTTGTTAGAGATACCAGTTATAAGAGGTTGACGGTTTGTGAAGCGATAACCAAAAAGTATAGGACCTTAACAATCTCTCAAGACAGACGGCTAGAATGTTGAGCGAAGCTTTGAAGCATAGTTAAACTAATCCAAAACAACGCTCTATTTGCTAGGCATGCAGCCTGAATTCGAAGGGAACGTGGATGTTGGTTGCAACACTCTTGTTGTTGAGTAGGTTGTTTCCAATCTATGAAAAGCTGCAGGACCTAATGGTTTGCCACCTAAATCTTTTAAAGATAGGAATAAGAAACCGCTGATTAAAGTAATGGATATGCTAGTAGTGTATGTGAGTCAGAGTTAGTCCCTCCAAACTGGTCTACTCCATTAATCATTCCGATTCATAGGGACGGAGAGTAGTCTTGTAACAACCAAAGAGGAATCAGTTTGACTAATATTGTGTCCAAAATCATGGAATCAATGGTTATTCAACGCTCGACTGGGACGCGAGAGAGGCTGACAGATTCCAGGCCTGAACAAGCATGCATCGATCATATTTCCGCTAACAGGTCCTAAAGCACGTTCATACTTACCGTCGGCCGATACTTATGCAATTCTTCACCTGAAAATAACATTCGACTGTCGACCGTGAGTTGTTGTGGTAGTGTCTGACTGTAAATGGAATACCGAGCAAGCACATAACATTAATCAACGCTCTCTACTCGAACTCACGCAGCTGTGTATTGGCTTATGGAGAGTTATCATCAGGGTTAACGACGACTAGTGATACCCTCTGTCACTGTTCTTGTTCAACTGCTATGGAAATGTACTAGTTGACACTACCTTAGGTACTTCTGACCTAGAGAGAATATGACTGACTTGGAGTGGGCAGGTAATGTGTGGTGCTAGATGAATATGCTGACGAAATCAGGACCTTTTGAGCACATTGAACAGACATTTGTGCATTTTTGGCATGCGTTTAGTACTTGTCAAGTGTAGGAGTATGTTTCAGGACTGGTGAAGCCGTGGTATGCGTCGACCACCTCACGTAATTGCGAAGCTGCATCAACCCAAACGTGCTGGTTACTTACGACATCTCAGCTGTGATACAGAAGGCCTGTTTGGGATATGCAAACTTGTTATCTGTGATGCTGACTAACGTCTTATTAAAGGACGAGTATACTGCACTGCAGTGCATTCAGTTTTCTGTGATTACGAGAAGACCGTTAAAAGATGCGATAAAACTACAGGTTATTGTCTCAGGTGTCTCTTTAGTATTCACTCATGTATTTTTGAATAATAGTGTCAGCAATGTCAAGTATAGCCGAAGGGTGTTAGGCAAGCAAGCCATTCGACGAGATTGTCGACCTTCACCTGGTAAGGTGGCTTGGACATATGCCGTGCATGCTGAGGTACCAATTACCTCGACGTACAATACTAGGAGAAGTTTGGCTCGGTTAAAAGAGAGCTCAAAGTGGCCAAAGCAGTACATGGCACCATTGCATGAAGTCTTTGAATGTTGGTCTGAGCTGTATTGGATGGTGTAGACTACTTGGCTGGGGTCCCCAAGACCAGATGAAGCAGTGTCTGAGGACCTTTGGTGAGATGGCTAAAATTGGTCTCAGTGACTCAGTTGTATCCACTCTGACTTTTTCGAAAGTTTCAGTGTTCTCACTAACCTTTATCCTCAAACTGTTTCTTCTTCCATCACCTATGTCTACTTTGTTATTAGTTTTTTTCTTATCTACTTGTTGTTCGCATACATGTATAAAGCTCGGTAACTGAAACGGATGCATTCCTATTATGTAGGGCTATTTGTTGAAGTGTGCCTGTTCCAATCAGTCTAGCCCTGGTGATTGTGGTTTGGAAGCATGACAACCACTTCAGACAGTAGCCAGCTGTCAGGTAAACGAACAATGTCATAGGATGGAGTTTTATTTACCCAGTAGTATGAAATTCCGGAAGCTACTATATAGGACTAATTAATGTAGTTCCATTGGAACGCTGACAGTTTCACTAAATTGTTGTCCTCTTTTCTAGTGCATCGAACTTTGGATTGAAAATGCTTCCATCTGTCCAATCGATCGCAAGCCTATCACCTCAGGATCGATGCATCATGACTTCATTCTGGAAAATATAATAGGTGATTATATGGTAAGCCAATTTGTGTTTCATTACTTAGCTGGAAATTAACAACCGTTTTAAATCTTAGTTTATACACTTGCCACTTGTTAGTTCTTTGATTTCGTTAATTATATAGTTCCATCCAGTATATTGGCATAATTTAAAGCAAATTTGATGGAAAGATAAACCGCAACACTAATCAGTTCTAAGAACAGTTAATTTATGCTTTAAATATTATAATTTGCGTAATGAATCCACAAACAAGGTGACTATCCTCTCTCTGTTGAGTCTTATTTCTTAAATAGATGAAATGAAAGTAGATAATTTTAAGTTAATTTCCATTTTCATTATGGAATGTATGATATTATACCTTGAACATCTGTGGATTTGATGGGACAGTTTAGAAACCTTGCAAATGTGGATATTTCATTAAGTTGAAAAACAAAACACTTCTCAACCGCATCCATTTTGAATCTCCTGTACGCCGTTCAGTTAAATGTCATCTATATGTTGTTTCTGTCTACATACTAACTGCAATTACTCTAAACTGGAAGACAGTATCAAAATCTGTTTATTTTCTAAAATAGTAGAACAGGTTTATTTTTCATGTTTGGCGTTCATTTTCAAGTAACAAAAGTGGGAAATAAATTGTAAGTAACTGCTAGATACACCTTAATAAACAAGAAATCAATCCGATATTCAACGTGACCACCACCAAGTTAGGACATGAGAAGATAGGAAGGGACTGAACGCACTCAATATCGCGTCAGTGTTGATGATCGAAACAAAAATTCTCACATTTTTTGGTTCATTGATATTGTGGATTGGCCATTCAAGCAATAAAGTTATTGAGCCAGATTTGGCATCATACTAAAGTTCCGAATTTTGAAAACTGATTCGACGAGTTTCATTCTCCTGCATTTCCAATTGAATTTCTATGAAATAAAAACATTTTCTAGAAGAAAGGGCTAGTGATTCACTATCAGTATACAGGGTAGAGAATTCAATTGACAGTCTAAATGATCTACAGATGTCTACTATTCATTCACAAACTGAATGAGATAGTATTGTTGGACGTTTGTCTCCCGTCAAGGTCCAGTTGTTGGTAACCCACCTGAAACGTTATAAAGAACGGATCCTAACTAACTGTAACAGGGAGTATTCAATGTTTTTGACCGAGCATTACTAATTAGACTAACTGATTTATAAGCAAACGAATTAGACAGACACATAGAACCAACGTAGAACGTCGCACGCCGGTGCATCGGCTCAAGTTGCCACAATTCACAGCAGTACACAATAGAACAGGTGGATATAAAAAGACTGATATCAAGGTAGACAAAGTTTTGTGACAGAATAAACGGCAAGTACTAATATTCAAGCTTTCTAAGGCATCCAAGAGTGAATACATCTACCTCATTTTGACCGATTTCCAGCCATCACTGAGCATTCTCAACCACTGATTCCTGTCGTCTTGGAAACCCCAGTCAGGTTGTCTGCGTCTGCCCATACACCTCATACCAACAGTCTGGGACTTCATGCACTGGTACCATATTTTGATGTGGCTACCCTGAATCCTCCTAGCATGATACGTCGAGGTAGGTGGTGTTTTGGCTTACGTAACACATCCTAGTCACCTCAGCCGATGAAGGTTCACAGCCTCACCAATCATCTTGCCTAGTACCCTTCGCCTGATGTCAGCACTACTCACATGGTGATTTCACCAATCGCGAGCAATGCTAGAAAGACATATATGATCGGAACCTTGTGACCGCTTCATGTCTTTAACTTTCAATTGCCATGTCAGCCATATAGCAGGACAGAACGCACTACAGCGCAGCTTACCCGTCCTTTGATAGATAGTCGAATATGCCACCGGTCAGCACCATTGATGACGCAAATTGGCAAATGCCAAACGAGCCTTTTGTATCCGAGCTGAGATTTTGTCGGCAACCAGCCGGTTCGGGTTGATGCAACTCCCCAAATAAATGAAGTAGTCGATGCATTCAACCACTTCACTCCTTATCATTAAATTGGAATTAGTTTCAGACTAGGATCTTCTTACATTACTCAGGAGCAGAACGCATGCCAAACGTACTCAAATTTCTGCTCAATGCGTTCAGAAAAGTTTGTATTTTGCCAGCGTCTTCACCTAGCAAAACAAATCGTCTGCATACTCCAGGCGTTCAGATGACTTCCAGGTAGGAAAGTGGATCAATCCTTATTAAGTGATAGGTACCTAGGTCATCATTTCTGATGATAACTCTCCATAAGTCATTACACAGCTGCGTGAGTTCGAGTAGGGAGCGTTGATCAATGTGATATGCTTACACTGTATTCCATTCACATTCTACGCCCAATTTAGGTTCAGACTGAATGTTAAGCAACTGAAGTGTTACTGGGGGCCAGTTGAACTGTGCTTCAAAGTCTACTGCTCTACGTTCTATTCGCCTGTCCTAGGAGGTTATCAGCGTTCTATCGTTTCCGGTAATGCTTTCAATAACCATCTTTTTTCCCAGCCAGCATCTTCAGTAAGCTTAAATAGTTGTTAAGTGTTATCCAACTGTGATACCTTCTCCATGTCTTTCATCTTCACCATCCACCACAATCATTGCGAAGACGTAGTCAATTTGTCTTTATGTTGCTTTCGCTCTTCACTGTGGTCAGAGACAGACGGAATCACTCCTCTCACATCTATCAGTTTTGGTGACGTTGTGTAAATCCAATGACGTTTACTGACCTGGTGCAGGTTACCAACTGTCTTTACTGCTGTCTCTACAGCAGACCTAATATATATCACCAGGTTTCTTCTGGATGAGCATTGCTGTCAAGTTCAGATAAATACTTTGCTATCTCCTTAAATACATATTTCATGCTCTCATTTTTCAATCGAGCATAAACGGCCTTTCCTGTGACCAATAGAGGGCAGAGATTCACGAGCCGCACTAATCCATGATCGGAGTTCAAACTAGCATTCTAGAAAGAGTGGCACTCCTCGATCGATCCTCTTCAATGATGGCTTATAGCAGTGTGATCTATCCATCGTTGATTTCATGTTGGCGAAAGCCATGTGAGGCACTGTCTCTCCTTACGCTTAAACTTAGTGCTCACCAGAAACAAGTAGTTGTCGGAACAAAATTGTAATGGACGATCAGTGTTATCGGTTCGTTTACATGGGATTCCGTAAATACCCCCAGGATCCCTTTCCGATTAGCTCAGTTTCCCTACTTGAGCGTTAAAGTCACCTGCCATTATGACTGTATCTGTGCGTTTTGCTTTCCGTATCAAAATTGACAGCTTTACATTGAATTCATCTGTTTTATCATCCAAACTACAGCTGGTAGATGTGTACGCGATTACGAATAGGCATCATTTGGCCTCATATTCCTTCCTAGTTTTTTCAGATCCATTCAGTTAAGTGGCACGTAGATGACTCTTTACTGATATCCAGTCGACAAGCGCACTCTATGCCCTACAGCTCAATGCTATACTACACCAGCGGGTGCATGAGAGCTGGCCATCGGGCCTTCAGATAGTCGTGAGGTGAATTCTAAGGATTCACTACACTGCTAATGTGAGGTCAATTTAATAAGGATACTTGGGTCCTGCATGCGTCTCACAGACAGCACACATCCAAGGCTACAGATTCCAGAGTTCTAGTGAGTGATGCTTAATGTACGATTTCGTATAGAGTTTGGACGTCGAAGGCGCTTACATGAAACCGATGGCGGGGTCTTAGGAGATTAGGAATGAAGTTTCGATGGCTTTGATCATTGGTAATGAACGCAGAATGAGAGGCAGAGGAAGAAGTAAGGGGCTTAATATTAGTATCAGAAGGTGAAGGCAAGAAAGGAAACAACTGAGGAGGATAGGTTGTGTTTGTTTGGGTCTTGTGTACCACTGAAAGCGTGCGTGCGGTTGACACTTCCCAGCTCCCCCACATCGTAAAACGCTATTTCTTCGTAAGGTACCTGAAGAAGAAAAATATTTGTGTAACCGTAGAGCCCACTGGACATATGCTTGAAGCCTATCACACACGAAGCCTTTTGCGGTATGTTGTTTTGAGGCTTGATTGTTCTAGTGCTGGATGGAGAAAACCGATACCACCGGCACCGGTAGACTATAGGCCAGGGAGAAATGTGCTATTTCGGGGACTGACCTTTTCTAGCCCCCTCTTCTCAAAGAGAAGGCAGCATCAGTATGGCACTACGGGTCATTCAAGGGAAACACTTCGCTGCTGTCATACGCTATCCATCTGGCAGCACTACGACTTCGCCCTAATATCCATATAATTTCACCAGTAATCTTCTGCCACCGTCCTTGATTACATCCTGTACTAGTTGGTTTGACCCTTATGGCCTTCCTCATTTCAAGGTACCTCCAGTCTTCTCGATTTCTGCAAGTGTTGGGGGTAACGTTTTGATGTTCCATTCAGGCTCCGACTGGATAGCGGGCAATCGCTAGAAGCCATTTAAGATGTTCTGCCCATAGTTCCAGTCGTCTGCTGTGTGAGTGAATCACAGGCCCATCCTTTTCTATTGCCCCACTAACCACGGACCTTTTTTCCCGTTTCCCTACTAAGTCTAAATAGCTGTCTACTGTTGCACTGCCCTTACCATCTTTTTGCCTTTCGCTATCCACCACTGTTTGCGGTCATCACATAGACTGCTTGTTAGTCCATGTTTGAGTTGCAGTCACTCCTCATTGTGCTTGGAGCCTACAGGGATGTAGTCGCGTGCATCTATTGATTAAGAAGATGTTGAAGTCCGCTGACCATTTCTGAGAGTCAGGTACGGTCTTCGATGCCGTTTTCACCGGAGATTCTTGATAGCACTACGCGTCTCCCAGAAAGGTAATGTTCGGTATTTCCAGTTTTTCGTTTAAAGCTTCCTTAGTATTCTCATCATTTAGCAGCAATCTCAGTGGTCTCGCTGCTGTAGTATCCCTGCGACCATTTATATAGAAATAAAAACGTATTCAAACCAACGCGTGATCGCTGTTCGAGAGCGTACTTCATATGAAGTGACTATTGTCCACCCGCCCTCCAACGATAACTGATAACAGTATGATATATCTGTGTACACTGTTGATTTAAGGTCAGTGTACGCCACGTCAGACAATGCATGTTTATATCTCAGATCCGTTGTGGTCAGAAATAGATGATTGTCTAATCACACTTGTAGCAGGCAATCGCTGTTATCTGTTCGTTCGACAGAGTTTCCTAAAGTGCTTACCTACTTATGTCACCTGCTACGATCACGTCTAGACCTTTGGCTTTCGAAAGGAGGCTAGACAGTTTGGGGTAGGACTCATCCTTCACTTCATCCGAACTGGAGTCTGGGTGCGTAAGCAGAGATCACAAAGAGACGACGTTAAGTTTGACTATTTTTTAGTCCTCACTCTACCATTTAGGTGACTATCAACTGGGATGCAGTCAAGCAGTGCACTTCCTACCTGTGTTCAAAGCTGTACCTGCGTTTTTAAAGTCATGAATACTGGCCATCGTATCCGCTGAAGCCCAAAGTGAATGTCGTAGATTTACCACATTACCTGGGTTAGGTTGATTGAATACCTGCACTAGGGTACTTTATGCATGTTTCACAGACTGCACACGTCCATCACTTGAGATGTCAGAGTTTTGGTTGTTATCGCTTTGGAGTTTTATAGTAATATATTGGTTCCAAGGTGGTCTTCATCACTAACTGATGGCATCTCAAGAAGCATTGAGAACGTGAGAGCACCGGACGGCTGTGGCATCTCTGACATGGGGCTCAGCAGTGTGCACTCATGACGTTGCGAGGAAACCAACCCAGGGCCCTTTAGCCTCGAAGTGAGAGCGTTACTATTCAGCCACTGAGTAGGAATCTAATGGCCCACATTTTCTTACTTGTCATTTTCCGGTATAGGGCGACCATCACTTGATGCTGTTGGCGAGTATTCACCCTAACTCTCGGATTGGTTGACCCCACTGATCAGGTCACAACTTCTCATTAGGACTTCAGGAAATCTGTCTCTAATATTGACTAGTGATCACTAAATAGTAATTCAATTTGGAGGTTTATGGAGACTAACTGATTTCAGAGTAGTACTCATAAACGAACTTGACATGTTTATTTTTTTAAAAATCATTAGAGATTAATTAATCATTAGTTAAATTCAAACTTTTGTTGTGGAATCAGGTGTATTGTTCCATCTTTCTATTAAATCCCATTCATGCTAGTCACGTGTTCTTTAAGTGTGTTCTATATTTGGTGTATAATGAATTTTGTCTCATGTGTTGACAGAGATTGATGAAGTAAGTGGGTTTCTCGAACCGTTTGTTTACTGAAATCTTGAATTTAAACTCTGTAAATCGTCTCACTACTTTTCAGTAATTCGCTTTAACAGTAAGATTTAATTACTATTTTCAGGTTGCATGTCCATTTCGTGCTCTTGGATGTGGGTTTATCGGTCGTTTATGTTTGCTACCCAGTCATAAAAAATCATGTTCTTTGAATCCAAATGAAATGCCTCCAGTTTTGCGTAATCATGCAATATCTTCTTTAAAAGAGGGAAACAGCAATCTTCAAAATCCTGAGCTGTTATATAAACGTCGTGTCGCAGATCGAACATATAGTTCTATGGCTAGAACAGAAACAGACACTGAAACAAGTAGTGAAATTGCTGGTTCGAGTAGTCAAGAAATTGGTATTCAAGAGGATGATGCTAGTAGGAGACTTAATGAAGAAAACGGGGAGCAAACACCTGGACATACGGATGATAATGAGGTAGAACTCCTGCTACTCCAATACCTAGTCTCATATATAGAATGTATATGAAAGGAGATGAAAAAAGACGGGAATTATTGTGCAAATTTTTAGAAAGCAGAAATACCTCACCCTGCACTCGCAGTACTACTAAAAAGAACCATCGCAGAACAAGAGAGCCGGACGTAACACTTCAAGCCTTCCATCAATAAATTCTATGTAAATGAAGGACGTAGTTATCGAAATACTCATGTGACAACCCCAAACTGATTTACTTGGGAAAGTCTTCCCACGTCAACGTAATTTTCCCTTAAAATGTATTCTAAGCACATCTTCCATTAATTCATTTTCTAAAAATTAAAATATGCTGACAATTCTCAGCATCAGTGCGAAGCATTATATATATATATATATATATATATATATATATATATATATATATATATATATATAAAATAGGATTCAGTATACGCTTTGCTTGACTGACGCTTCACGAACGGTGTGCACCAACTTTTGACATAGGGGTGAGAAGTGAAGTTGATGAACGCCTTGACCATTTGATTTGCTTTGTTTGGCTGGTGACGGGATGTCACCTCATATACAAAGCAACGCAGAGTGTTAGTCGAAGGTAGGACTGCGTTGGAAGAATGCTGAGTGTGGTCAGAATAATACATGATACCAGTCGGTGAAGTGTTTAACTTTTGGTCTGAACTGTGTAGGCAGGAGCAACCCACCTACCTACTCGTCTAGAGTTCTCAAGAAAAGGGGAAGCAATAGTTGTAGACTCTCAGTCATATAGCTAAAAATCGACCACAGTGACGTAGATGTATTCCATCTTTGACATCTTCAGAGTCTTGAGCATCTCGGTCACCTTCGTCTGTTTATTCTGTCTACGCTGATGCAGTTTTGTGTACCGTAATGTCGGTCTTTTTCCATTATCTTGTTTGGATGCTGTTGTAAAGTGTGATAATTTGGACCCATACACTTCTGTGTAAGTTTCCACGTTGATTTGTCTAACTAATTATTATGCTAGCTGTGTGCTTCTATCCCCCGTGTTCGTTTTCGATGGTTTTAAATTGTATGACCGATTTTGGCGTTTCTAGCGACATTTGTTCCTGGCAATTATCTAAGTGAATACGTATACAAAATAGCTAGTCTTTAGACTGTTACATAGTCTGAACGGCATTTACAGAATGAGAGAGATTCGTTTTATTCCCTAGGTTTGCATCCCCACCTGTGAAGCTTCGATCTCACTTTACATATGACATACCAGCGTGTTCAGTTAAATTTAGGAACTCGTATAAACTGAGAAGTACATGAAGATTCCAGGAAATTAAAATAGTTCGATGTTTTCTTCTAGTGGTGATGGATATTCCTACTTAGTTTATAAGAAAAGATAAATTTCAGTTGGATAGTGATCTATGTTAGCTAAGTGGAATCAAGCTTTGTGTTCATAGCCTAGAATATGAATCCGAAAATAATCAATGGACGATGAGGATTGGTTATCACAATAATTGCAGCACTGATAACTTCATTTGGACAGGTTTAAGTGAAGTTCGATGGCGATTTAATGTAATGGTGATGACCGAGCCGCTAAGCGGAAATCACTCACATGAAATCTAAACCAAACCTTCAGTTATTTCAAAGCAGTTACAACTTGGTAAGCAGTGATTTGAAAAGTGAAATGAAAATAACAACTATATACAGAAGTAAAGTAGTAGACTATTGAAAGTTTGGAAGAAGACAAAAATTTTACTATGCTTCATAGAAACATCTAAGACAATGAGATTGTTCGAAGTATGTTGCACAAATACATTGCCCAATTCAGACATATTACTCGTAATATTTCTTGATGAAATTGATAAAGGGAGGTAAATGTCCAAAAGATAATTAGCTTGTCATATAAGATGACAGTGAATGTCGGTTTATTATGAAAGAAGTAGCTGTATTAGACAAGATGAGTTGTATAAAGAATATTCGGAATAACGAGGTACGTAAAAGCCTCAATAACAATTCATGGATTGAAAATGACACTATTGACTGTCCACATACTTCGGTTAATTAGCAAGCCTACAATCTGTTTATGAATATAATTTCTGATGTCTGAGGCCCATCGAATATACATGCTGTTTAAATCTTATATATCATGTCTAAGTAATTGTCTCAGAGTTGTAGCTTTAAATCTTTCTGCATAGCTGTCCATCTGAGCTTCAAGTTCTGTCACATAAATAATTTCCAGTTAGTGTTCAGTGTGTTTCTAGTATAAGTCTGACTTGGTGAACGACAATCTCACCCTTTGTCGTTTGAATCCTCGATAAAGTGAATAAGCTGTGAAACAATGAAAGGTTGTTCATCAGATGTATGTGTTAACTAATCTCAAATATATAGGTATGGTAATGACTAAGAGAGTGACAGTTCTGGGGAGCTCGGTGTTTGTTGGATTATTAGTAAGGTTTCAGGCTTCAATGAATGATCTAATTAATAATACGACATACGATAACATAACATAGCAAGACAGTGAATTTCTCCGAATTCATCCCATCTGAGTACTACACGAAGGCTGACGCCAACTACTTCTAATAACGATGAGAAGGAGGTGTGATATGTATACCGACCAGGATTCTTCGAAAGAAGCTGTGGCTGGCAAAACAGATTTGAGATTCATCTACGGTAACTGGTAAGATGGCATCCTATGAAGACCGACTTAGAATTATGAATAGTTAGTTAAAGTTACAAAGAAAAGTGAGTTATTAGAAGTTTCTTAGAGCAGGTAATTGAGATGGTAGGTAGATTTCGTTGAAGAGCAGAACAACATCGCTTTGCTTGCTCACAAGCAGGCCTCAGGAGATGCTAGAATATGGAGATGGTGCGACTAAACATGTTTGGATTTTTGAACATCGCAGTCTGTAATGGATGAGTAGCGTCCTGATGATATCCATGAGGAAATTAGTTCGAGCAAAGCATTCTTTGAAATTCTTGTTTTCATATTCATCGGATGACGAGACGGGATACAATAGGGGACTAAGTGGAAATGCTGAAATTACCGCTTGTGTTATTACTCCTTTTCTCATATTTCCTGATAAGCTTTTCTGTGAATTCCGAAGGCCAATTAATAATTGGTTGTGTTGCTTCAATGTGTTTCAGTTCCTTACTTAGATTTCCCAACTAACTGTTTGAACTCCTAGCTCGCTTACCTAGACATTTAACCTAGCCCTACTCTGACAGACAGGATGAGAGGAAAAAATAAGACATCTATTCGAATGCTAGGTAAATTTCCATCTCTCCTCTTTACTTTGCAACTTAACATAGTTAACTCTCCATCTTCATTTTCTAGTTCATAAGTGAATTGATTCGCATCTACTATTGAGTCATCGTGTGGAAAAAATTGGATGTGTTCTGATTTCAGTATAGGAAGTGTCTGCTACGATGAAAAATTCTGGAGATCCCTTCGTTAATCCTGTTTATTGATATATTTTATCTTGAAGTTTGAAAAATGTGGAAGTTAGAAATGATCGTATTCCTAGCATAGTTTCTTCAGTCGATTGCAGTAGAATAGATCAGAACGTGTTAACATCCGTAGATCAATATCAAATTGCACAGGATCAGGAACTTCAGTCAAAATCTTTCCCAGAGTAGCAGAATACACTAACTTCACCACATGTTAATGGAAACTCAGTTCTATGCTTATAAACTTATTTATTTTCGCTCATAGGCTAATAATTTGAATCTGTTGAGAAAATACAGTACTATACAGTGTAAAGATATACTCAATTATTCACAGATTTTTACAACCATATACTACACTCATGCATGCGTATTTTCAAACTGGAGTAAGCAATATTCTTTTTAACAATGTCTCCCCCTACTTCTCTAACAGCTAAAAGCTCTGGAATATGGTAGTTTCTCACACTAATTTTACGAAATGCTATTAAAATCGATGAAGAAGATGAGGTTCAACTTGTGTATTCAAGCTTCTTCAACTCGTTCAGTTCGTGTTACGAAGACTACGCTCTTTTGGTTCTGCTTTCTGACTAACAGAAAGAAACCCATATCAGAATATAAACGTTCATATAAACTTTATTCAGTATACAGAGTTAACAACCACAAGTAAGGGCAGACACGTCATGGAAAGACCAACTTTTCTTAGACCACAGGCAATTCAACATGTCATTCGATTATCTTTCGTGTAATTGTTAACTTGACAAGCTTTTATGATAGCGCTGACAGTAAGTCAGCACAATTTCCAATAACTTTCAATTAAAAATAATGACCAAGATCCAGTGTGATTTCTCAACAACTCGGCCGATCAATGTTCAACGGAAAGGTTAAATGTTGCAAATGAGATCTAATTGTTTTCCATTTTTATCAATAAAATTCACTTTAATAAGCAAGTCATTACTGGGGGGTAATATAAAACTGATGTGCGCTTACTCTCATACTATGGAATATAACATTATCTTTAACCTTGATATGCAAATAATCACTGTTCATTCGTGATATAAGACAACTTAGGAATGAAATGTTACAAATATTGAGCGTTGAAATTTTTCGGGAAATAAGCTAATAAATCAGTCATGTTCAAGATTCCAGTCTATAACTCTTTGCAATAGCTTGTCAGCTACGACAGTTTTGTAGTGGTATTCATATTTAAAATGTGTTACAATGGTTTGACCGTCATTCAGTTGGTTTTGCAAAGTAAAGCTGTTAATCAAATAAATTATCTTATTCTTACTGTATGTGATACTGAGGCTCTGAATGGAAAAAAAGTGTCAACTGTTTATCATTCTCTTTCCACCCACACTGTTCTTTTCTGAATGTTCGTACAAATGTGAAGTGAATTACTGGCCACTGGTGCGTGCAGCACATGATACGTCGATGGTACTGACAACACACCTTTTAGATGTCACTATGATAAGTCTGACAGGACAGAATGGTAGTTGATTAAATGAATTTCACCTGGCTAATTTATGACAGATAGTTTTATTGGCGCAGCTTTTTCTCTGAAGAAGCTGTTATTATTTCATATTTTTAACTTGATTTCGTATTTAGCACTTACTGACTAAAGCAGCACAATCCTTTTCATAGATGATCTCATCGAAAGAATATCTTAACAGTAGCTACTTTTTTCTAGTCTAACAGTGGTCAGTAGGTGAATCCATCGGTCACTTTTTTCCTCAGTTTGAAAATCATCAGATGCAAATCCTTACATTCAGGCTGATGTTTTTACTGAGTTCCACTTCTAGCACCTGGCACTTATTGTAGCGTCTTTAGTAGTTTAGAAATGAAAGGATCCTTAATACTTTATAAGGTAAACTATAACCCAATTGTATTAGTGCACAAGAAATATACGCAGGTAGATGTCCATTCACTTATGACAGAATTGTT